AGAGGGGGGCCTCGCCAAGCACCAGCCAAGCCACACCACCACAACACCCCCCAACCAAAATAACACTCCAAAGACAGCTGAAAGAGGCCTCTGACAAGTTCCAGACAGCTGTCACTGATAAGAAACATTCCACTGTCTGCCCCAGGCACTGTTTTGTAAATAATCCATTAGATTGTACACAAGGGCCACTTAGCACACAGTCCTATGGGAGTTGACTGGAGGCTGGCTGGGGGCCGGCTGGATTTTTAAAATTTTTTTGGCTAGGGGAGGCCCTGGCTGTAAAGTGACTAAACCAGGTTTTTCAACATGTACAGGGGTAGGATAAGATACATGTAAATAGTCGTTGCACTTGTACAACAAAAAATTTTTACACGTTAATTAGCTCCAGTGGACTCACCAAAAGAGGCCACTCACTCTGCGCAGGGTAAAATTTATTATTGGAGAGAAATGCATTTTTCTTGTTGGGAAAATCAGCCTTCCTAAAGTCTCCAACCAATTTGCAAAGCACATATATACTGTTTCAAGAAAGTCCAAAGGGCCACCTTGAGTGAGGACGAAAAGAGAAAGGTTATTTCACACTGATTTTGGGTCTTCACATTGCTGTATGAAGTAGTGCCCCCTGCAAAGGTTTCCTGCGTTTTACAATGCTCCCTGATTTATTCATCGGCAATGTTTACCTGGGTACACCAGAAAGTCGCCACCGAATTTGCAACCTGACGTGAGATAGTAGCCCATCTCCCAGAGATCTCGGAAGACTCTGTATTTCAACAGCTCCTGCTGTGACGTTGGGTACATCCACTCTGTCACCTCCTCCCTTGGAGTGGAAGGTGAGGCTGTATAAAGCACATCATAAGGCAGAAACATTCGTTTAAACATGAAGATTACAAAATATAAACTGCGCTATTGTAACTGTAATTGACGAGATCCTTGCCTGTGACGATGTGAACAAGGTAGCCAGAACAGGGGCGAGGGTCAGGCGGTTTCTTGAACACATCTCCATCATCAGGTCTATGTTCAGGACTTGAGAGCGGAGCAGGTGCCGGGCCTGATGTGTCTGTCGCCGTGTTTGGGCCGGGGTCGGACACAACCCCCGGGGGACCACTTGTTCCGCATTGCTGCTCAGATGGCAGCAAGTCACTACAAAAATCATCCTCCATGCTTTGCTGTGATATTGTCAATCTTGCCTTTGGTGATCCATCTGTAACAGTGCTAGGTTTTTCTTCTTCTTTGACCTCATCTATATGTACATCCTTTTGAATATGACCCACAGTACTGTTATCAGCAACATTTGAATCCACCTCAAGGAAAGGCTTGATTTCTCGCAGTCCACCTTTAACTGCATCCAACTTGACAGTCTCCACATCTCTGCGGATGTTCTTATCAGCATCACTGTCATTAGTCCTTGCACAATCAGCTGGAGATAACTGACTAGATTCCATGTTACTCAAGAAGCTTTCCAGTCTGCTACGAGTACTCTCTGCATTTTCACTGGTGACATCTTCAGCTTGCTCAGCATAACACGTAGCTAAGCTAGGAGCTGAGGACCCTTCCTGGTTTTCCACTTCTGCCACGACACTGAAATCATCTTGAATCTTCCTCCTCTTCCTTGTTGCTCCGTCTTCCTCAAGTAATTTATATGAATCACTGGCACATCTCACAGTGCTATCGCCTCTTGATTCCACTGAAGAGGAAGCTTTTCCCCTTTTCTGCTTCTTGGCTCGCTCCGCCCGTCGATGTTTCTTAGTGGTCCTTCCAAGAGCGATGATGTTGGCAAAGTCCTGCTTCTTTTTGGCATTTACTGTATCCCACATTGTTTGCTGTAAAGAAATGAAAACCAAAAAAGTGTTACTCAGAATCATCAAACACTTACTGCATTCAGTTAGAAGATTTAATTTCAAAACGATGATTTGGGCTGTTGGGCCAAAACTATTTTTGTAGAACTTTGATTCATCAGTTCTGTACCTGTTCACAGAAGCTTTTCTGTCTTGCCTCTTCAAATGATGTGACGTTGTCAGCTGACGGATCTTTTATTTTCACATTCACCATCTTTGCAACATCTGCTGACAGGAAAAAACAACTGAAATCTTTGCAGTACTTTACAGGTTACAAAGACACCTTAACATCTTCAGTCCAGTTTCCTTTTTGGTCAGAATCTTCCCTGGGTGATCCAAAATATTCAATCTTTCAAATTCTGCAAAATTTCCTGGTTCATTTATTTAGAAGGATCTGGAGGTTCACTGAACACAAATCATGGCATATCAGACTCACCATACTCAATAAGCACAGCAGCCTCCTCTGGCATTAGCTGTAAAGGAAGACCCAGCTGAGCATTCTGCCTTGGTGACCGTGGTAGCGAACCAACCAGGGAACCCACGATGTGATGAGTCTGCCTCAGCAATTTCACATCTGTTCATACATATATCGTATTCACATTTGAAAACTGACGCTTATACCATAGAGCAAGGACCGGATCTTAAGCTCATATGCTCAACTAAAATTATAACGTAACAAGGACGGTATTGTCGCCAGGTCCCTAATTTCGCTACCTTTTGTCAAGTCTGATTGGTTTTTACAGTAAGTGGCAAAATAAGGGACCTGGCAGCTACAACGTTAGGCCTATGACATTGTATAACTAGTTTATGATCACTGTAGACACTGTATCGCCACATCCTTAATGTTTTAAAAATGATTTCATAATTTGGAAATTAAATACCTAAGAAACGACAGAAGTTTGCTTTTATCACTGAATGTTCCTGCACTTAACATAACATTAGGCCAGTAAAACCTCAAAAATTAATCAGTGCCATGGTCGTTGCCTATCCCCAGAACTGTGGGGTCCGACGTCCGCCCCATTCCTACGAACCCCACAGAAAATGAGCCTTTTTCGCCATAGGCTCTGCATGACGTTTAACAGGGCAAGAACAGGGATTTTATTCTAGCTGTGTACCCATAGAAATGCTGCTCCATTTCTCCCAAGAGCTCTATGTAAGATAGCTTACATAACTTTGTTCTGAGTACCAAGAAAACACCTGGCCAAACCATGCCGTTTTCCCTAAAAAGGTGCAAATATTTCCCGATCTGTGCCCGAGAGTCATGCGGTTCACAAGTGTACTTGCAAAGACGAGCCGCGACCAAATGGTTGACTATGGCTGCGATCGCTACACAAGACATGGAAACTGGCTGCAGCCACTTTCCTTAGTGCGAGTGTAATTCTAAGCCACGCTGGTTGAAATGACAGTTGGTTGCACATGCAGTGCACTGGGGGTCACATTGACCAACCACAGGGCTCCTCATTATTTATGCCCGAATTGCAGGAACGACAGGCAACAGCCGTTGGGCGCCAGTGCACATGAGCGTGCTGTTGCACCGTGAACACTTTCTGTTGAGGCCGCACGTGGATGTGAATACGCAGCGATCTTTGTCTGCATCCACGTGCAGCCCCCCAAAAAGCATTCACAGTGCAAAAGCTCATTCACGTGCACTGGCACCCAATGGCTGTTGCCTGTCATTCCTGCAATTTGGGCATAAATAATGAAGAGCTCTGTGATGTGTCAGTACAGTGACCCCCAGCACACCGCAGCTAACTGCCATGTTACATAGAACTCTTGGAGAAAATGGAGCAGCATTTCTATGGGTNACAAAAGTAGAATATAATCCCTGTTCGTGACCTGTTAAACGTCATGCAGAGCCTATGGCCAAAAAGGCTTCTGGGGGTAGGTCATTGCCTTCATGTTTGAATGTCCATGGTCTTTACTTGATTTGAAAGCATTACTGTATCTCAAAACATAAACATGTCACTTGCCAGCTCCAACTCTCCTCAAAAACCTTCAAGATGCAATAACAGAAACAGATTACTCAAGCAGTCATGGCAGTATCATGTTACAGACCAACACTGAGCTGAATATGTCTGCATGCAGATGCTTGATATCGTTGATTAAACTTGATAGGCCTACGATGAGTAAGAATAAAACGTGAAAAATACAAACCATCCGCATCCCACACAAGTATCTTTCCTTTGCAAAGATGAAGTTCAATTTGTTTTTCTGCTCTGATTTCATCAAGCGACTGCACATCATCTTCCATTTCTAAGAAAGTGTACCACCTGTGAGCAAACCAACTTAATTCTTCATTCACCGAAACTTTTTAGTGGGCGCCGCCATTTTTCCGTTCATCGTTCAATGATGAACCTATAGAGGGCGCTACTTAAAGCGAACAGCGGAAAGCTGTTCGCGGGTTCAGTTCAGCAGTGAAAAGGCTGCCTTACATAACAGTGATAAATATCCCCACTACAAAAAATCGGAAAAATACTCAAAAATTTCTCGGGTGTTCAAGATACATATCAAATTAAAGCTCATTACCTTATCTTTCATTTTCCTTTCAATCTCCAGTGGCATAACCGCTGAAATTGAAGATACAGGTACATGTATCCCTCCAAAACGATCACCCCTCAAACTGAGTCACGAGGCCCATTCAGCATCGCTATTGGATCTTTGTCCATGGCCACTTGGAAAGTTGAGAAATAGAGCGATTTGGAGGTCCCCATTTGGTCCGATACTTTCTGAAAGACAAGCTGGCCGTCCTGCTGGTAGACTAAATCTACCTTTTTCACAAACCATGGAGTCCATGTATCACAAAATGCTCTCATAGCAAATTGGGATTCGGTCCGCCAAGGGAACTTTAAATTTGGCCTATTTGAAAGCCTGCAACCTTATCCGCAGGCTCCTGGCGGAACAAAAGAGGGCGTGTTTTTTCTGGCACTCTCCCACAGGGTGCGTTC